AATTGTAACCCCTCTGTACAGTATGTTCACAAATAAAATAAAATTAAATTAAAAAAAAGATGATGTTAAAGGAAATGTACCCCAAGACAGAGACATAAGTGGTTTTTTTCTTTCTTGCTATTGTTTTTAATGTACTTATAATGCAATATGTGATTATTTTGTTTCTTTTGTAAGTTCTTCCCCCATGGTATAACCCCTGTTTTCACTGTATTTGATTCTGGTGTTCTGCATCTTGTATATACATTTCTGTAATTTGGGGAGAGGAAGGGATATTGTGGAATGCTTAACTGAAGATGCAGGTTGGCCTATTGTGATGATGAGATGTTCAGGACACTATGCTGAAAACAACCTTTACATGTTGGAGAGGGGTGTGGGAAGGGAGGAGTTGGGGAGGTGGGGAGGGAAAGGTTGGTAGGGGAAAAACAAAGGGAGGTGGTAACAATGCTCAATAGGAAATGTACTCATTACCCTACTCATGTAACTGTATACCCCTCTGTACAGTATTTTTACAATAAAAATTTATATAACACACACACACACACACAGAGGAAGGCAGCTGAATGCCTCTGTTCCTAACTATTTACCCCCTGTGTCCAATATGCTCTTTGATAAAACAAGCCTAATACCATATGCATTTAACATGCATAATGTCTTTATTTAGTATGTGTCAGAAGAAGAATGGCTGGACATATTAAACACTATCAAAGTGTTATAATATTATGTTTATCCAATTATTTATTTTGAAGATACTTGTCTGGCTTCCTAGTTAATTGCTATTTTACTAGTGAGGAGTAAGAGTCATTACAGAGGGAGCTAATTTTTATAGGTAAGGGGTCCATATTTATTTTTTATGTGCATGTATTGGCAGTTCCAGCAAGGCGCCTGACAAACAGTGAATAGATTTAGGAGATAACGCATTGAATGTGTAACTTAGTGAAAATTGATGTGATTTGGTATACTTATATGAAATCAGGTTTGAATGTATTTTGCTTTCCTATAGTACTTGTTGGAAAAGGTCTGGGCAGACAATTTGGGTTTTCTCAACTACTTTGGTATTTACATATCTGTCTGTCTGTCTGTCTATCTATCTATCTATCTATCTATCTATCTATCTATCTATCTATCTATCCATCTATCTTGCTAAGTCTAAGGGTTAAAATTCTCAAAAATTATTAAACAAATGGAATACCTTATAGATAATATGAACATTTATATCTAATATTATTTTCTTTCTTAATATTAATTTTAACATATAAATAAACCCAGAGAAATATGATTCACTGTTGAAAAGTTGTATTGTCTTGAAAAGTTCCTTTCCTTTGTATTACAAAGACGAATCTGTAGAAAGAAGAATTTCTTTTCTCCAGATGAAGTGTAGTGGGAATAGCTAGTTAGGTTATGTGGTTAAATGTTACCTATACAATGATAAGACTATATGCATATGTCTTTGTTGTGGACAGTATATTTACAGAATTTGCAAACCTCATTGGGTGTTAAATTTAAGGTGTTGCACAGATAAATAATAAAGAATAAATATTGGCTTAAATGCAGTTCTTCAATGCTGTTATTTCAGTATGTGCAGTAAACTTGGTTTATTTCCAAGACAACTGTTACCTAAAGATGAGGAAAAAATGAAACTAAGTGGAATATGGTTAGGAAGCAAAAGGCATTGTGTTGTTCATATTTGAACCCACTGGAGTGTTCTATGTGCTTCAGAGAATGAGTAAGTTGTAATTTATTTGTAGCTTTGCTACTCCTTAATGGTATTCTTCTCAGACCTTTTTTCTTGTAAGCCTTCATAGCAACTTTAGTTCTATAATTTTTCTGGGATAATACATCTTTCTATATCTTCCATCCTAGGCATTGAAGAAACAAGAAGCTAAAGCAGAGGAAACTGAGGGAATAATGAAAAATAAGCTACAGCAAACTGAAACTGAGAAGAGTCAAGTAAGATACTATCTTTCAAGAAATTATGTAGTTCAGGACCAGTAGTGGTTGCTGGGTACCTTGAAAAGTGTCCCTCAGATCATTTATTAGAACTTAGTGAAATCTTTATATGCTTCCATGTGGAGCTGCTTGATGGCTGCTTTGATGGCTCTGGTACCCTTTACTGCTTCCTCTTGGAACATACACAGAAACGTAGTTAGTCACCTTGTTCAGAAAACATCTTTCTTGTCACTATATATTAGGATCTTTATCATATATTTATGTCTGTGGACATGTAGAGTCCAGCATGTTAGCCTTAAAAGGCAGTTCATCAGCCAGACAACTCAATTTGCAAATGAGTAGATCTAAATAGGAGCACAAGATACCAAATGACAGGGTAAAACTGCACTGCTGTTCTTTCCTGCATATCATTTTTTTTCTACCTATTATTGCCAACGATAGCTTTTTGTCTTCTCCACATACAAACTTGAATAGTGTTTTTATACTGCCTTTATAGAAAACAAGCTATGTTATGACCTCAAGTTTGTGTTCTGGAGTTGAGTCTGGTAATATTACATTATAATTATGACCAGTATAGGCCTCTAAGCTGTTTTGATAAAGTGTGATTTCTTCCGCCTTTATTTCTACATAGAACTAAAGAATAGATTGGATAGTATTTTGCGTGAATTTGATGATAGTACATATTGTTATTATTATTATTTCTTTTTTGAGGGGTAACACTGAAGTTTGATCTCGGTGTCTTACTAGACAGGTATTCTATTCCTCTGGCCCTTTGCTGCACTCATTGTTTTTGAGATAGGATTTTGCTTTTTGCCCAGGCTTACCCCAGTCAGTGATCCCACTATTTTACGTTTCCTGCTAGGATGACAGGCAGGAGTTCCTGAGCCCAGCTATGGGCTGTAAAGAGTTCTTTTGAACTTTTCTGCCTGGGCCTGGAATGTAATCTTTTTCATCTCAACCTTTTGTAGTTTGGTCTAAGGCATGCACAACTGAACCCAGTTTTTGGTTGATAAAGGGTCTCATGTATGTTTCCAGGCTCTCCTTTAACTATGAGACTCCCAATTTCAGTTATATAAGTGACCCCTAGGATTCCAAGTGTGAACCAATAGTGCTCAGCTTTTTATTCAAGATAGCATTTATTTTATGATCCATAGTTATAATTTTAAATGGAAATAATGTAACTGGATTAAAATCTATTTTGAGCCGGGTGCCGGTGGCTTACACCTGCAATCCTAGCTCCTCAGGAGGCTGAGATCTGAGGATCACGGTTCAGACAGCCTGGGCAGGAAAGTCCGTGGGGCTCTTAGCTCCAATAAACCACTAGAAAACCAGAAGTGGCGCTGTGGCTCAAGCGGTAGAGCGCTCATCTTGAGCTGAAGAGCTGAGGGACAGCGCCCCAGCCCAGGGTTCAAGCCCCATGATTGACCAAAAAAAAATTTATTTTGAAATAATTGTAGATTCATAGAATATTTCCAAACAAAACCAGCTTCCTTCAGTGGTAATATTTTGCATAATTACCACTCAATATGAAAATTGGGAATTGGCATTGGTCTAATTCACAGGATTTTACAGATTTTACCACCCTCACCTTACATGCCATCAGTGTACCTGTATAGTTTAATCCTTTTTTAAAATCTCAGGTGTAGAATCCTGTTACCACTGATACAATCAGGGTGTAGGACCCTTCATCACCTCAAGGCACACATCCTTAACAGGCATATTTACCACAAAGGCAGATGTTTTCTATTTCTTTCCTTCTTTTCTTCTTTTCTTCTTTCCTTCCTTCCTTCCTTCCTTCCTTCCTTCCTTCCTTCCTTCCTTCCTTCCTTCCTTCCT